TTCTCTCTCACCCACACACGCAGAGGTGCACACACCAGACCCATCTTCCATCTCTCTCGCTCTCTCTCTTTCTCTCTCACCCACACACGCAGAGGTACACACACCAGACCCATCTTCCCTCTCTCTCCCTCTCTCTCTCTTTCACACACACATACCCCAGACCCATCTGTCTCACCCACACGCACCAGACCCATCCCTCTCTCTTTCTCTAAACCAGCAACCTCGCACCAGACCCCAAACCCAATCTCCACCTGTCTTCTATCTCTCTATATACCGGACATTTCAACCTCCGCATCCCTGATCCAATGGACCCCATCTGCCAAGACGTGCCCTGCTCTCTCTCTAACTTCGTGGACACCTTTGTCGACTTCACAGTGAGTGGACTCTTTCTCTCTCATCAGAAGCCCCAACAGCAACAAAAATCCACATACCCATCTCAACCTCGCTTGCTGGCAGTTGGGGACCTCCATGGCGATCTCCAAAAGGCGAAACAAGCTCTGAAAATGGCTCAAATCATCGATGAAAATGATCGATGGATTGCAGGCGACTCCATGGTTGTTCAGCTTGGCGATATCCTTGACAGAGGAGGTGAAGAGCTCAAGCTCCTTTATTTCTTAGAAAAACTCAAGCAAGGTGCGGAGAAATCGAATGGGAAGCTCTTGATTTTACAGGGAAACCATGAAATCATGAACATAGAAGGGGATTTCAGGTATGTGACAAAAGCTGGCCTTGAGGAATTCAAGAATTGGGGTGACTGGTTTTCTATAGGAATTCAAATGAAAAGCCTTTGTAAAGAATTGGAAAAGCAAATTAACATTTTTACTGGAGTACCCAAGAATTACCCACCTGGAATTAGGGCTAGAATAGCTGCTTTGAGACCTGGAGGCCCAATTTCTACACGTTTTTTAGCTGATAACCCTACTGTTTTGTTGGTGGGTGGCTGTGTTTTTGTTCATGGTGGGATCCTCCCTTGTCATGCTTATCTTGGCTTTGATTGGATTAATGAGGAGGTTAAGGATTGGATCAATGGGTTAAAAGGGCGATTTGGGCCTGACTTCGTCAGAGGGAGGGACTCTCTGGTTTGGTTAAGGAAATTTTCGGAGCAATCTGAGAAGAATTGCGAGTGTTCTCTTCTCGAACATGCTCTGAGCGCGATTCCGGAAGCTAAGAGATTGATTGTGGGTCACACTATTCAAGAATCAGGGATTAATGGAGCTTGTAATAATCAAGTGATTAGGGTCGATGTGGGTTTATCAAAAGGGTGCATTAATGGGCTACCTGAGGTCTTAGAGATAAGGGGAGATAGTGAATTGAAGGTATTGACTTCAAATCCTCTGTATCAGAAGAGGGGAGCTATTCTTAAGCAAGAAGAGAGGGTTGGGTTAGGGTTGCTGCTTAAGGATAATGGAGTTAAGCCAATAGAGGTGAAGGCTTAGGGCGAAACCTTAAGCTTGAAGTGGTATGTCTGTTGATTTTTTTGTGTAATTCATTAAAATTCATGGTAATGGATTCTTTCCTGGACCTTGGTGATAGCATAGACAGATCTCAATCACTGTTTCAAAAATCGCATGTCCGGTTTGGGACTTGCCTTAGGCGGACTAAATTGAGAGGCTGGTGATTCTGGGCACAAAACTCTAGGAACAACCCATCTTCTGATTTTCCTGGTTTTTTTAAATATTTTAAATATATATAGCTCCCTGAGTCAGGCGTGGGGGATCTGGACTTGGACCCTGCCAAATCGGGGCCTGATACTGATATTTGAAACACTACTCTCAATTAGAGATGGCAAAAAGAATCCGAAAGAAAAATTAAGAGGGGACAAAAAATGCTACGTATAATTGGAGGATTTTGAAATTGTGCTTGTTTCGAACAATTGAATTGTAGAGTGGGATGCGCCATTTGGAAATTGATCCTTGATATTTTTATTTCGAGAAAAGTTGGCACCTAGAGCTCAAGTTTCATTTGGATGTGGACATCAAAGAGTGATTCCATGGCGGATGCAAATAGAGTGAAGAAGATGACAATGAATAGTGGATTTTTCAAGACTACAAGACCATTGAAAGCCATTTTGCATGGGCATATCATTTGAAATAGCGATCTCTATTTGCACATGCCAAGAATTAGCCTGATTCTTGAATGGCCTTGTCCTGATAAAGGCCCCTGAGATCATGGTGTATGGTATATGAGAGGGATATCCTGTTGTACTCTTCGCACCGTTAAAGTGCCTGCCAATTCTAATGCAAAGGTATGCCCTTCATAGTCCCTTAGAAATTTCATCCTATACTTGGAATGCATTTTAATAACTCTGCCTTTGCCGGTCCCAAGCCCGGATGAGAAAGGAGGAGGGTTGTGTTAGGTCGGCAACCAACGTAAAACTTCTGCCACATCTCTATCATGAATCATGTTCCTGATTGCGAAGCATGATTCGTATAGCCAACCCCAAATAGTTGGGATAAAGCTCAGATGATGATGATGATGATATAAAATGCATCCATGATATCATTGGTCATTGGAGTTGTAATGTGAGCTGAATGCATACTTCAAACATTCACATGAACACACAATCATACATAATAGATCCTTTGTATCTATGAGAAAATTGTTTTTAGGCATGTGGCTTTATAAACCTATGCCTCAAATTTCACAAGAAATTTTGTTACTGCCTGAAAACCTGTAAATAAATCATCTTGACCTCGACACTCATGGATTTTGGAAAAAGAAGGATTGAAAAGCCCTAAAACTAATATCTATCTTTATGACACATTTTCAGAACTATTCATTTCAGATGTTCATAAATCCGCTAGATGTGCACTATTTTTGGAGCTTCAAATTCCATAGTCAGGGGTGGACATAGATTTGCAGCCTATCACAAGCGTATCCTAATGTCAGAACTGCATTTTTAAATGGGGTTATGAGTGCGGCTTTATCAAATATTATAGAGTTGAGCCCCTACAAAAATTGTACCCCGTGTCTATGATGAGCTAGTATTTATTTATATAGGTTAGTATGCATGGTTAGCTAGTAGCCACTTAGCTGGATTGATTCATATATGGGTATGTACTGACAATGCATCGTCACGAGAATCTAAGAGTCGAATTGATTTCGCACATCTCATGGACCAAATTCTCAACATTCTTATGTAAATCCAGGTTTTCATTTTCCGGAGAGAATGAAAAACACAAAAAGTGACAAGTTCCTAAATTGTCTCTCTAATGAGAGAATGCTCATCTGAAAAGCACACAGGTGCATTCAATTGTGATTGTTTTGTCAGTCTTATCATACCCAATCACTATTTGCTATGCCATGCTGAGAAGACAAGGATACTTCTTCAGGGTCCTAAAGTGTTAAGCTTAGAAAGTTCTTATTAGAATAGCACCTTAGTGACATTTTCTTCACCATCAAGTCCATCGAATATGAGACATTTTAAGTTAGGGTGAGGTTTTGATGTTTTTAGAGTGATACAAAAATCACAAAAACACCACGAGTTGTTGAAATTTGGTAAAGCCATGCATCAAAACCCTACCAGAAAATCAGATCCGGCAATAGAAAAACTTACAATGGCGAGCTTATGAAAAATCCACTTCCGCCGCTTACTATGGAATTTGAAGCTCCAAAAATGATGCAAATCTGGTAGATTTATAAACATGAAATGGAGATATGGAAAAAATTGCAAGATGGACTAGTTTTAGTGCTTGAAGTCCATTATTCTTTCCAAATCCATGATCATCGAGATGGCAATGATTGAATTGCGGGTTTTCTGCGGAACTACATTTTTTGGTGAGATTTTAGTTGTGATTGTATAAAGCTGCGGCTTTACGAAATGCCTTCCCTTGCAAGTTAAACAATTCTAAGAAATGTTAACCGTAAAAAGTCCATAAGAATAATAAACCTGTAAGAAATGGCAGCTTTTGACTGAGGGAGTGCCTGTTAAGTGGATGTTTTGTCATTCTTTTAGGGATTTATAGCTACTAGGAAGCATTACTCACAAAGTAGGAGAACTAGCCTGGCTAGACATTGTATTATTAGAGCTTATAATTAAATTAAACTCAGGCCTCCTTTCCTCACCTTTTTCTCCTTATTTCTTCAGATTCTTCTTATCAGTGTGCAGACAATTTTGCAGCTTAATGCTCTCCTCTTAACATTGTTTAAGTGCTCGAGCACTATTGAGTGTATTGTGGTTTTTCAATTTCTTGCAAAGTTTATTATTGAAATATGTGACATAGTTTTATACTACATATTTATACATAGTGGCACAAGTTATTTAACCACTGTTATTCCCTTAGAAAGGCTGATATTTCCAACCAAGCATAGCTTTTCTTGTGAGTCTAACCTAGTGGAATGTTTTGGTGGATCGATTTCGGATTTTGTTTGGTTGCTCAAATGCTTGGCCTTGGGGGGCCTTTTGCAGCAGAACCGATTCACTGAGTCATATGTTGGAGCATAAAACAGAAAGTTAGAAAAGTCTCTTAAAAATAAAAAAGTTTTAATGCATCAGCAAGAGGGAGAATTCGTAAGTGATGAGGACAGTAGAAACTATGAAAGATAATTAATAATCTGAAATTCTGTTTGATAAGTTTATGTATTTGGAGAGGAGGCAGGGGAATCAGGTTATAAATTTCCCAAGAGATAAAGGAGTCAAATGCTCTAGTGTGGGGCCTTAGCTGGCCTTAAGTGGTGTACAGAGAATTGCTCCTCCTTCCTGTTTTACTGCCTATTTTGAAGTACTTTACTCAGTAGAAATCAATGAATCACTCGGAGATTTTTGGAAAGCTGGTTGAGTTAACCATGGCTAAACTCTGAAATTATCTTTGCTTTAAATGATCAATTTCAGTTATGATACCAATAATAAATTAACTCATTATCCCACAGATATTTCCCCTTGAGCTGCACTTGCATTGTGAGCACTGAAATGTTGTATGGTGATTGAGCATTTGTTCTATGATTCTCTGCATATTGCTGTTATGAATATGATCTAGAGTTTGCTTTAATACATTTATCAACAAGATGATCTCAATGATATAGTTTAAATTTCTAAAAAACGCCTCTGTTTTTCTATCCCACAGTAAGTTTTTTGTTATTTTACTGTGATGGATCGAGGAAATTTAGATAGAGTTGTTTTCCTGGGTGCAAAATTTAAAGAGAATTGTGATATTTCGACAATGGACTGAGAATGAAGCATAGAAAGCAAAACTTTTGGTCGTCCTATATGATAACTGAAACAATGACCTATACCATCTCTGTATCCATTCATTTGGTTAGTGGAGATTGAGGAGGAAATGTTAAAACCATGTACTACTGAGCAGCGGGCAGAGTGAAGGTCCATTGAGATTTTTGCCGTCATACAATTGCCTGAGTTACGGCAAAGGTGTTTCTGGCAGTCTCTTGGCCAGCTTGCTGGAGATACCGTAAGCAGTAAATGAAGGCAAAAGAATGGCATTTTCCATCAAGGTTTCCACCATTAAATATCTTTGGGTGAGCTTGGGCGGAAATTTCCATGGGGTCCTGCCAAAATGTCTCGAAAATAGGATGAGGACAGTTTGGATCCTCAGGCTGCAGGAGGACCAAAACATTTTCTATGAAAGAAATGATGAAAATGCAAATTGTCCACATTTAAGAATATATATGAGCAGCTAATCCTAGGAAAAAGTTGTTCATAGCTTGTTCATTGTAGTTGTAGAGAGACAGTAGTATCAGGAAAGAGAGATTACTCATGTCCCCACCAAAATTTCTTATTAGTAAGAATGATTTATGAGTCCTTAGTCCCTGATATGTGTCTATCACTTCTGAATCCCACTTAAGTAGATTGTTGTACATTTAGCTATGCCTCGAATCCTTGTCCGGAAATCACTTAGGGCATTGGAAATTGGAAATCCCCGTGATGCCTCTAAAATGAATTTCTAACACTGACTATGAATTTTGAAGTTAAAAAAATACGATAGTTCTTGTGGATCCGTGAACACATAATTTTTAGGGGGAAAATGGACGATCTGGATCATTTATTATAATATACACTATCCTTAAGGCTTGAAATCTTAATTTTCTTTTACAACCATAACAGTCGACGTGGAGATGATTGATTTGAAGGTTTTTTAAAGCCTAAACTGTGATTTTTTATAAACTGCAATTTCATGCGGGTTGGACCACATTTCTACGTTTGCAGTCCAGAAAGTGTAAAGCATCCATCTTAAAGATGGATGCAAGTTGGTGTTCCATCTACGAACAATGGAAACTAACGGTTCAAATGTTTTCTTACTAGAATTATTAATTTTATTTTTTAAAATTTATTTATTTATTTATATGCATGATCTCTATGTTAGATATTACATGTCCTTCAAAATTAAGTCTTAAATCGAACTTAAAAATAGATTTATTAAGCATTTCTGCAAATGCGGGCTTGGCCACATTGAAATCGGTCCATCATAATTTAGATGGTCATCTTTAAAATATTTGATCCAAAATACATCTTTAAAATGGATTTTTGGATAAAGGACTGGTTTAAATAGGTTGGACCTAGTACTCATGAAAACCTTGTGGTTTTCGTTTTATTGCAATTGTTGGAAGAAAAGCGCGCTTCCCAAAATCATCATAAAACATCGAATGAGGTTTCTAAAGGACTTTATGAAAACAAAATAAAGCCTCACCTATAATCTTCGTCTGGAAAGCACGGTCACCAATAAAAATCTCCACTGATAGTTCTAAAATCTATTTTTTTAATACGGACAATAAAATTTGAAATTAAAAAAATGTGAAGATTTTGCAGATATATAAACAGTTACTTTAGAGCAAAATGGACGATTTAAATAATTTGTTACAATGTATATTATTTTTAACGCTTGAAACATAATGTTCAAGCCAAGTTGATCGATGGGTTTTCAAGCATTTTCGACCGAGTTATGAGGTGTAGACCTATCAAACCATTTTCTTAAAATGTCATAATAGTAAATGAGGTTAATGTGACAATATAACTAAAGAAATTATTATAATAATAAAAAAGTATATTATTTACCTTTTGCATAAGATGGTCTCAATAAATTTTGACTTTTAGATGTGAATTTGAGTAAATTTATTCTATTGACTAAGCACAAAGGATAAAAGAAATTTTGGCCAATTTTGTGACACTCACACTATCAAATTTTACATGGGATGGTTATAAGCAAGTCTGACCTTTTTGTACAATAAGGAAAGGGGTGTAGTTTGTATAGAGCCGAGGTTATAAACAATCAAAGTAAAACGTATCTTCAAATAGTATCGAGAAATGTAGTTTCAATATTGAAAATCTTTGTGATAGTTTTAAAATATATTTTCTTATTTAATTATAAAATTTAAAGTTTCAAACTAAATATACTTTGATTAGATCTATGAAAACTTGAAAATTTTGAAATAGAAAGTTCTAAAATGTGTTGCAAGATGCAATATTTTCAAAACTCAAAATCTACTTTTTTTTCTCATGTCCATGTATTTTGATGTTGAAGGATCAATTTGACAACCTCTTCTAGTGAAATTTTTGAGGTGAGCTTTAATTTGATTATTTAGAGACACGGTTTGGTATAAACTTTTTCCATATAAGTAAATAGTTTGATTATATTACAAGATTATAACAATCCTTAAAAACAGCGTTTTAAAAAACGCCGAGTCGAACCGGACTCGCCGGTTCGACTCGGAATTCGCGAAAAGGGATCGGATCGGTTGAAAAATCGGAAATCGTCCGGTTCTAGAGAGAATCGGACGATTCCGTACAGTGACTCGCCGATTCACTGTACGGAATCGGCGAGTCCGAACAGTGAATCGGCGAGTCCGTAGGTTTTTTTTTTTTGTAATCCATGATAGATTTTTTTGTAATACTTGATCGATTTTTTTGTAATCCATGATCGAATTGTTTTTG